CCCCACCCTTCAGCCCCTCCTTTTGCGCGGACCCCATTACAATAAATTTTAAATAAAAACTTGTCTCTGATTTTGGAGTGGATGGATTGCTCTCCTCAAGCTCCCTGTCCGCACCGCCCCCCCCCCCCCCCCCCCCGCAGGCGTTTCTTCCTGCGCCAGACCCAGCCAGTCCCAGCTGGGCTCCGGCCTGTGTGGCTCCTGGGCTCTGGCTCCTCCCTGGCCGGGGGCAGCACCAGCGGCTGCAGCCCAGATTCAGGGTGGGGCCGAGGCTCAGTGACTGGAGAGCAGGTTCCAGGACTCCCAGGTCTCCCGGGAATACCCAACCTGGGCAGGCCCAGAATAGCCACTGGAGGTCCGAAGAGGCCTGAGTTAGAAACCCCAACAGTTACCAGACATAAATGCTGTTCTCCCCCCTCACACCCATTGCCTGCTGCTCAGACCCCAGCCGAGTACCTGCACACCCTTAAGGCCCTGAGGGGTGACAGTGGGCGATGGAGCTGCAGAAAGGATGGGGACGTCAGCCCTGGGACTGGGAGCGGAGAGGGTGCCGAGGAAAACTGCGCCTCTCCCCCACCTGCCCCCTTGGCTCTTGGTGTGGTCCATTCAGCGCTTGCGGGCTCCGGGGCCCAGCCCCCTCCTGTTCCAGACTGCCCCTGCAGCCTCTGCTCTGGAATTCCCTTCTGAGTCCGGCTCCAGGGACCCGGGAGCCTTCCAGCGCCCATTTCGGCTGCTGCTTCCTCGCGGGGAGAGGGGCTTCCAGTACTGCAGGCTCTCTTTTCTTCAAACCCCACCCTGCCCCTCCTGAGCAGCCTCCCCAAGTTTTGCCTCATTTCCCTTCCCCTCTTTCGGCTTGTCGGGGTGCCACCACCGGGTCCCGCCTGTCTCACAGGTCCTGTCTCCTCGCAGACCCCTCTCCGTTTCCCCCAGCCCCCTGCCTCTGCCAGGACCCCCGGTGACCGTTGGCGGGAGGGGCCCGGGGGCTTGGGAAGGGGGCACCCCCAAGAAGGGCGCGTGGGAAGGGGCAGGGAGGGGGCGCGAGTGGCTACCCGGCCGGTTGCCCGGGTAACGCGGGGCCTGGCACGCGTGGCTCCCTCGGGCTGGCGGGGAGGGGCGGGAGGCGAGCGAGGGGGCGGGGGCGGTGCGCGGCGGCAGCGGAGCGTAGGGGAGGGGACCTGAGAGGAGCGAGAGGAGGGGACGAGCCGAGGGGAGGGGAGACCCGCCGCCTCCCTCCCTCGCTGACTCGCTCCCTCCCGGGCTGCGGCTGCTGCAACGGGGCGGCGGTGGCAGCAGCAGCGGGAGCAGTCTAGAGGCCGGCGTCGAGGTGAGACGGGGCTGGACCGAGGCTGCGGGTAGGAGTGCGCGGACAGACGGCGGACGCCGGGAGGGCTGCACCGGAATGCGGGCGCCGGGCGGACTGGCTGGCGGTGCTGGGCGCGCCACGCCAGTGGGAGGAGGAGGCGCCGGTCCCCCGGGGGCGAGGGAATCCCTGCGAGAGGGGCTGACAAGGGGCTCAGAGGAGAAGCCCAGGTCCCCCAGGGAGGGGCGGGGGCGTCTGCGCCCCAGTCGCGCAGTGAGGAAACTGCACCGGCCGGGCGCCCGGGGAGGAAGGGAGGATGCGGAGGGAGTGGAATGTGAGTATCGGTCCTCTGCCCAGTGTGCCTGTCTGCCTGTCGGAGCGTGCGAGCGTCTGCACAGCTTGTTGATTTCGGGATGCTGGGGCATCTGCTAGGATCTGAGAGTCTGGATCTTGTCGGGCAGACCCAGGAAGAGGCCATGGGAGGGTCCTGTTTACAAACGGGTTAATCTTCCCAGGGCTCTCCAAGCAGAAGACTTTGAGCAGAGCACTCCTCCTCCCCGGGGATGTCCCACCCCAAGGCAAAGGAAACCCCAACTTTTCTTCCTCTCCCCAGAGGCAGCCCAAGGCTGGCCCTAAGACAGGAGCAGAGCCCTCTGGAGCTGCAGTGCCGAGAGCCACCTCTTTCCTCCTCACACCAAACCTGTCTCCTCCTCTTTCAGGATTGCTGCTGTCTCTGCTGCTCCAGCCTCCCCATCGAGGTCCTCTCCCCTCTCCCCTCCCAAGATGGCAGCCAGCAGCTCTGAGGGCTCAGAGATGAAGGGGATAGAAGAGGGTCCCCAAACCCAAGGAGAAGGGCCTGGCCATTCTGAAGCCGAAACTGGCCCTCTCCAGGTCCCAGCTGGGGTCCCAGATAAGCCAGAGGCCCCGCAGCCGGGCCCAGACATCACTGGGGCCCCTGTGGACTCAGAAGCCAAAGCTGGGCTGGCTCCAGAAACCACAGAGACCCCAACTGGGTCCCCAGAAACAGCCCAGGCCAAGGACCTCAGCTCAAGCCCAGGAGGGGAACCAAATGCCAACCCCAGCCCCGAAGAAGCATGCCAAGAGCCAGCACCCAAACCAGAAGGGAATAAAGAGGTCACTGAAGACCAGGGGTCCGATCTGGGGTCTGCAGCCCCACTTGAGCCAGCCTCAGAGCCTGCTCCCCAGTTGGATCCCCAGTCAGACCCTCAGCCAGACTGCCAGCCAGGTTCCCAGCCCACCCCCAAATCAGCTCTTCACCCAGAGCCCCCTACCCAGGAGGACCCCACCCCTGAGGTCCTGACTGAGAATGTGGGGGAAAAGCAAGAGAATGGGGCAGTGGTTCCCCTGCAGCCTGGTGGCGGGGAAGAAGGCCCAGCCCCACAGCCTCACTCGCCACCCGCAACAAAAACCCACCCAGCCAATGGGGCTCCTCCCCGAGTGCTGCAGCAGCTGGTCGAGGAGGACCGACTAGGAAGGGCTCACAGTGGGCATCCAGGATCTCCCCGAGGTAGCCTGAGCCGCCACCCCAGCTCCCAGCTGGCAGGGTCTGGGGTGGAGGGGGGTGAAGGCACCCAGAAGCCTCGGGACTACATCATCCTCGCCATCCTGTCCTGCTTCTGCCCCATGTGGCCTGTCAACATCGTGGCCTTCGCTTATGCTGTCATGGTGAGCCCCACGGGACCCTGGCCCAGGCCTGCTGTGGCTCCCAGCTTCCTGCCAGCACCGGGACAGAACCCCAGGAGAAGCCTTGCCTTTCCTCTCCTCTCTGCATGGATCTCACTTCCCAAGTATGGGGCCTTTTCTGGCCTCTCCCTGGGACATTCCCTTCTGAGCCACCACTGCCCTACCCTTTCAGGCGGGAGGGAGGTCAAGACATGTTTCACACAGCCTTGCTGACCTGTGCCCTCCTCCCCCTGCCTCTCCAACCCTCTTTCCCCCTCTAACCACTGTCCACGGGGCCTGCCTGTCTCCTCTGGACAACTCTTTCACCTGATCCCTGCTGGGCTGCCTGTCTCCTCTGGACAACTCTTTCACCTGCTCCCTGCTGGGCCCACGGTGCCCCACCCCTCACCCTAACCCCAGTCGCGGAACAGCCTGCAGCAGGGGGACGTGGATGGGGCCCAGCGTCTGGGCCGCGTGGCCAAGCTCTTAAGCATCGTGGCGCTGGTAGGGGGGGTCCTCATCATCATCGCCTCCTGCGTCATCAACTTAGGCGGTGAGTGGGGGTCTGGGACAGGCCGGGAGGAATGGAAGGGTTGGCAAGGGCAGTTTTACTAACCCCTGCCCCTGCTCTCTCCTGTCTGTCCTCCCTACTTCTCCTTTGTCTCTCCTTGTCTCTCCCCCCACCGTCTCTCTCTGTCCCTCCCTCTCCTCTCCCACAGTGTATAAGTGAGGGGCTCTGCCCCGCATTCCAAGACCTTTTTTCCTGTTGGGAGCTGCCTTGGGCCCATCCTCCCCTGGGGGGAGCCCAATCGATGGCCCAGGCCCGCACCCATAGGGACCAAGGGAGCCTGAGCGGCCTTGTTTACAGCTTCTTTCCTGCTCCTGCATCCTGCCAGGCTCCTGTGCCAACCGTAGGCCTCCCTTCTCCCCGCACTGTTTCAACCTCCCTGCACTTCTGGAAACCTCCCTGACCTGAACGTCTTCCAAACTCTCTCTGCTCTCAGCCTCCCTGCATCTCTCCCAGCCTCCCTGCACTCCTCCCAACTTCCTGAATTCCCCGCACCTCAGCCCTGGTTGTCCCCCTTTCAACTTTCAGTGTCTTGGCATCTTCCCCCATTCCTCTCTTCTTTCTCCCCTTTATCATCTCCCCTTCCCCCTCCACACCCTCTGCCCCCTTCCTCTTCCTGCCTCCTCTCCCCTCAGCATCCCTTCCTCCCCTCAGGATCCTCTCCTTCTCCCTCCTGCCACCGTTTTCTCTGCAAAAACTCCAGCACTTAGATCAGGCTGGGGGAGGGGAGCGGTGTCACGGGGAGGGCTCCCCAGCCTAGGTTCCGACTATTTTCTGCTGGGACCACCCAGGTCCTGACGCCCCCAGGGCGCCTCTGGGTCGCAGAGCTGGCAAGCCAGGCCTTGTCTGGTGACTTGGGCAGGGTGTCGGGCACGACTGCTGGCTCGCAGCACGCACCTGGGAGGAGGAAGGGGCGCGGCTGTTGAAGCCTTCCGATCAGCCCAAGCTGACCTGCCCCACCTGGGCTTTTTTTTAAACCCGCTCAGCGAGTTTCTTAAATAAGGCGTCGGGGCTGGGGTCATTCCCGTGCTTTGAAACGAAAGAACCCCGAAATAGGACCAAAGCTCCCAGATGCAGGGAGCGAGTGAGGGGCGGGGAGCTCTATAATTATTTTCCAAGAGGACGAGGGAGGTTTGTTGCACGCGACAGTCCGCTAGGGAGGCGGGGACCGAGCTACGACGCTGTTCGGAGTTGGCGGGTTTTGTTTTCTTAAAAAAAAAAAAAAAAAAAGGGGGGGGGGGGGGAAAAAAAAAAAACTTAAAAAAAAAAAAAAAGGACACATCAAACAGATCCTCCCTTTTTGTATGCCGGATGCTGCATGAGTCTGAAACACCAATAAACGGAGACTGCATGAGACTCGCCTCCAGCCTCAGTTGGTCCTTAACGTCTGTCCGCCGCCGGGGCCCGCGGTACTGCCCCCTTTCGGGCTGAACCTATTGGGTGTATGCGCATGCGCCGTCCCGGTGGCCATCTTTACTGTGGGCCGGAGCCAATTGTGCCCGAGCCTACCTGCGCATGTGCAATCCTCCCCTTGCTTTCCTTTTCCAAGTAGCTTGGGCTTAGAGCGGAGCCTTCCGCGCCGTCTCTGTGCGCCTGCGTACTGTGACCCTGCGCAGCCCGGGAGGCGGGTCTTAGCTCCAGGTGCGTACGGCAGCTGAGGCGGGGAAGTTTGGGGAGAGGGCGCCGGATCCAGATGTGAAGAGGGGCAGTGTGAAGGCGAGAAGAGCGGCTCCGCCCTTCTCCGGCCCAGAAAGTGGTTTCCGCTGGTCCCGGGGAATCTCGGAGTACCGTATCTGGATCCGTGGGGCGGGGTCCTTGGAGGGGACTCAGCGCCCCCTCCTGGGAACCGGCGGTCTCGTCGCTGGGACCGCTGTTGGAGCCTCATTGGTTGGAGACAATCCCTGAACTCCTGGGAAACCCAATCCCTTGGGAGAGTAGAGCGGGAGCCGCCGCCGCCCCCCCCCCCCCCCCCCCCGCCTGGGCTTAGTACTCCTGCATCTCCTATCATCGCAGGGCCCCTCCCCTAGTAGCCTATGTCCCTTGTTCGTGGTCATGGAGACATTTCGGCCACCACGGCGGCGCCTCTTTCTGAAGAAGGGGAAGTGACCTCTGGCCTCCAAGCTCTGGCCGTGGAGGATACTGGAGGCTCCTCTGCTTCGGCCAATAAAGCCGAAGAAGAGGGGGAAGGAGGCCGGGAGGAGACCGAGCATGAGGGGTCTGGGGCCGAGGAGGTGCAGGGAGAAGCCCCTAGCGCCGAAGGGGAAGAGCATGCCAAGGGAGACTCCGAAGACTGGTGCGTGCCCTGCAGCGATGAGGAGATGGAGCTCCCCTCGGATGGGCAGGCCTGGATGCCTCCCCCCTCGGAAATCCAGCGGCTCTATGAACTACTGGCAGCCCACGGTACCCTGGAGCTTCAGGCTGAGATCCTGCCCCGCCGGCCACCCACGCCTGAGGCCCAGAGTGAAGAGGAGAGATCCGATGAGGAGCCTGAGGCCAAAGAGGAGGAAGAGGAAAAGTGAGGGCACACCCTTACACCTTGTTCCTGGGGCTTGCTCCCTTGGTGCCAGGAGGAAATTGGGAGGGGAGCTGGGACCCTGGAGCATGGAAAGTGGAGGGATGGAATGGGGAGGGGAGACCCGCAGGCCGGGGTATTTGGGAAGACCACCCTCACCCTTCACTTTCTGTCCACCTGTCCCAGACCGCACATGCCTACAGAATTTGATTTTGACGATGAGCCAATGACACCAAAGGACTCCCTGATTGACCGGAGACGCACCCCAGGTACAGACAAAGGGGGACAGGAAGGGGGAGGGGAAGGTGAAGGACCTCTACTCCCACTGATCTAAAAGGTGACTCCCTAAAAGAGGCCTATGCTTGGTGCTTTGGTTGCTATGCAACTTGTAGCTGTAGGAGAGAGCATTCATCCAGCGGTGCCATCCTAACAGCTTGGATAGACACCCTGTCTTCCTTTAGGAGACTTTCACACATGATTCTGTCATGTTTCCCATTCCTCTTATCTCCATCTCCCTAGAAGTTCAAGTCTTCCTGGCCATTCCTTATTATCTAGATCCTCATTCCTATACTATTGTGTACATCTCCTAATCTGACCCGATTTCACACCCCGTGTGCCTTCCTGGAATTTACCCTGGAGCCATTCTTGATTTCTCTTTTACCCCAACATTCAAGCTAGCAGCAAGTCCTGTTAGCTCCACCTCCACATTTCCAAGCTCGTCTGCTACTTTCACCTTCAACAGCACAGCCTCATCCAAGCCATTATTGCTTTCTTTTCTCTCTTTTTTTTTTTTAGAGACAGCAGGCCTGGGGACAGGGGGGGGGGGGGGTGCGGGGGACAGGGGAGGCAGAGGGGGAGAGAGAATCTTAAGCAGGCTCCACGCGCAGCGTAGAGCCCAACTCGAGGCTCAGTCTCAAGACCCTGAGATCGCGACTGGAGCCGAAATCAAGAGTTGGAAGCCCAGCCAACTGAGCCACCCAGGCACCCCAAGCCATCATCTCTTTTGCCTGGATATTTGTGGTGGCTCCTAACTGGTTTCCCTGCTTCCATTCTCAGCAACCAGCATGATCCTTTTAAAATACAAATCATGTCACTACTCTGTTTAAAATCCTCCAGAGGATTCCATTGTTGGGGAAAAGAGCATGTCAAGAGAGAATCCAAACACCACAACTTCCCCTGACTGCCTGGGCCCCCAAGGTTTCCAAAGACATTTATTTCTATTTAAACTAAGAGATCCAAACCCCTCATCACGGCCTCTAAGTCATTTCTTTGACTACATCTTTCCATCTCCCCACCACCCCCCAGCTCTCTATACTTTTCTTTGAACAGACCTCCCTGTTCCTGCCTCAGGGCCTTTGCACTTGCTCTTCCCTTACCTGGGTATCTTTACCCTGGTCTTCACATTACTGGTCCCTTCTCATCGTTTAGACCTTCACTGCTTACCCCATCTGAGGCCCAACCCCAAACCTCAGGGCCTCCATGACAGAGGCCTGGAAATCTGTATGTTTTAATGAGCTCCCCAAATAATTAGTAACATGTGGGCAAGTCTGGTACACAGCGCCTCACTCCCATCTACATTTCTTACCTTCCTTTCCTCCAGGAAGCTCTGCCCGGAGCCAGAAACGGGAGGCCCGCCTCGACAAGGTTCTCTCCGACATGAAGCGACACAAGAAGCTGGAGGAGCAGATCCTTCGTACTGGCAGGGACCTCTTCAGCCTAGACTCAGAGGACCCCAGCCCCACCAGCCCCCCGCTCCGGTCCTCAGGGAGCACTCTCTTCCCCCGGCAGCGGAAATACTGAGCACTGCTGCTGCCTTTAGGGTGCAGAGCATATACCTTCTGGGCCCCCCTTCCCAAGCCCAGGGCGCTGGGACACTGGGCAAGAGCAGAGAGACTCCCAAGCTCCCAACACTGCCCCTTGCCAGAAAGAGAAAGTGTATGTGCCTATGTATGCTTTCGGTTGAACATCTCTTTGGAGACCTGGGCTGAATTCTCTGAATCTAAAATAAAAAAATGCCAAGTTATCGTCTCTTAGAGGGTGGGCTGCGGCAGCCCAGACGGTTGCAGAGCGGCGGGATTGATCACAGACACCCAGTTGGGGAAATTGAAATGAAAGCCACATGGGGCAGAGGCGAGCTCAGTCTGCACCTGCCCTCCCCGTCCCAGGCCCTCTGACCCTTCCCAGGCTCATTCCGGCGCTGCCCGAGGGCTCTGAGGCGGGAGCTTCCTGAGGGTTGAAGGAGCTGCAGTCCGTTCAGCTGCCGGAGAAGCCGCCCAGAGGAGAAACACCGAGAACCAGCTGCGAGGGCCCTTTAAATGGCCAAGCCCCACCCCTGAGCCTGCCCTGCCGGGAAGTGATCCCTAGGGCTGGGCTACGGAGTTTCCTCCTCCGAGGGGTCTCAGACGGTGGGCACTCTTCCGGGTACTTCGTACTGGTCCCAAAGCCCCCCAAACCCCTGGTGGGGCCTTGTGTCCCCCCAGGCTCTCCGAGCCCCGACCGGCCTTCTAGCACTGCTTGCTTCTGCTGGGGCAGGTAAGACCTCTCGGAGCCTGAGGAGGAAGAAGGTGGGTGGAGGCTTACCTTTGGGAGGTTTTACTTTCCTTGTTGGAATCCCCCCCCCCCTGCATTTTGAAGTAAAGGTAGGTCAACTTGTTACCTTGCCAACACTTCCTGACCCCCCCAAATCTCAGGCCTCTCAACTTCAGGCTCCCACATCAGAAGTAAGGACAGAGGAAACTTGGGGCCATTCAGACTCCGTCCTGGGTCCCTGCCGCCGGCCTCTGCTGCTTCCTCCCCCGGGGCCCCTGGCTCTGGCCTGTCCTCTTGAGTTTTTAGAGTGTGATTCCTGCCCACCCCCAGATCCTTCATCTCTGCCAAATGTTGAGGCTTTACTATTGCCTCACTTAAGGCTATGCCAGCCGTGGCCCTTGCGGACCATGTGGGAAGTGGTTAGCATAGCAATCTTAAGGTAGGCTTGACTTCTAGAAGGTGTGGAGGTTGGTGAGCGAAGTTCTTTTTCTCTTTGGGAGGGTGAAAGGAAGAAATGCGAAACTCCTTTGGGCCCTGCCAGCCTGTGATTGTGAAGATCTTAGGGCTGGCCTTCCAGGAATGAAATCTGGTGGGATGGGGGATGGTGGTTGTGGTAGATGTCCCTGTGCCCCGAGGGGACCTTGGGTTGTGAGGAGAAAGCCGCTGTTAACACGGAGTGCCAGCTCAAGTGCTCCCTGGGAGCTCCTGCCTGTTTCCGCCCTTGGCATGTAGGGCGCCCAGCCTGCCGGGAGGCGGCGGGGGGCGGGGGGAGGCGTGTGTGTGAAGCTTTCCAGGTGGGGTCGGAGCTGATAGAGTGGATGGCCGAGGGACGGCCTGAGGGCTCCAAGGTAACTCGGGCCTCCTGGTGGGATGGAGGCTGCCCCCCCAAACCCCTCCCCTTGCAGAAAGTGCTCACCTGTGAAATGCCTGTCTCCTAGAGAATACCCAGCCCCACCCAGGTCAGAAGTGCGTGGTTCTGGGTTTAGAATCTTCCCTTTCTGCCTGAGAAGCCAGGCTACTTCCTGGTTTGAGAGCTCTGCAGACAGGGTAATGGGTGGATTTCTGACCCTGTCCTTTGATCATTGTGTGATCCTGAGTGAAGTTCCTTAACTTCTAGGGTTAGATGGATCAATTAAGGGCACTTAACACAACACCTGGCACAGTTTATGTCCTTGATAAGTGGGAGCTGTTATTTGGGGGCTCTTGCCAAAGATACACATTCTGGAGTCTCTCCCCCAGAAACTGGTGCAGCGGGTCTGGGCGAGGCCTTGGAATCAGCATGCGCAGGAGCCACACTCTCAGCTGGGTCCTATGATGGAGTGAGTTTAGAAAACGGTCTCGATCGGGGGTTCTGAAGCCTGGATCCTGGGTCACTTCTCAACTAGGCAGTCTTTGCCTTCAGTGATGAGCATTAATTGGCAGCATCCAGGAGGTAGAATGAAGATAGGACAAGCAGCATTCCAAGCTGCCAGAACTGTTCTGTCCCCCGTGAAGCCACCAAGCTGCTCCTCCTCCCACAAGGTAGTTGGACTGGAGCTCAGCGAAGGAAGGAGCTGCTTCCTCTTTCATAGGAAGAAAAGTTCCTAAAGCTTTGCTCTTAAACGTGATTGCTGAGACAAAGTCTCAGAAATGTCCCTTCTAGTCCCCTAAAGCTGGAAATAATTTCCCTAAACTAAGCCAGTGTGTAAACAGCTTCTGTGCAATCCCTGAGTAATGGGACTCTTGCATTCTCCAAACAAAGTGTAGAATGTTTACAGTCAGGGAAACTGCAAAGATGAGCCCCTGTTTACGCCGAACGTCATGTACGTTGTCCTAAACCTGAACTTGATAGAGGTGATGGTGGCAGGCTGAGTCACCGGCCTCCCCTGCACCTTCCAGCCTGCTTGGGGCAGGGGGCTTGTGTTGGCGAGGGGGCAGGAGGAGAATAACCAAATGCCCTGCCCCTGAGGAGCAGTCTAATCTGAGCTCCTCTTTATTCTCTCTCCTGCCAGCCACCTTTGATCTCCCCTGCACTAGACACATCCTGTGGCCACTAATCTCTTCAAGCCCAGGAAACAGTCACTCTTCTTTCCACTTCTCAGTCTAGGACACTCCGGCTCAGAGCTAGCAAGTGGCCCAAGATCATGACAGAGCTCATCCTTGCCGGGTATTAGTCAGTGGGAGAGCTTTTAAATATAGCAATGCTCTGGGCGCCTGGTGGCTCAGTCTGTCGAGCATCCAACTCTTTTTTTAAAAAGATATAGTTTTAGAGCGAGAGAGCCTGTGGACATGAGGGAGGGGAAGGAGTAGGGGCAGAGTCTGGAGAGAGAACCCCAAGCAGACTCCGCACTGAGCATTGAGCCCGACGCATTGCCCCATCTCATGACCCTGAGATCGTGACTGGAGCTGAAATCAAGAGTTGGCTGCTTAACTGATGGAGCCCCCCAGGCGCCCCTAGCATCCAACTCATGATCTCAGCTCAGGTGTTGATCTTAGGGTCATGAGGTCAAGCCCTGTGTTGGGCCCCATGCTGGACGTAGAGCCTGCTGGTGGCTGTGGGGGCAGGGGAGTCAATGCTTCACCCCACCCCACCCCCCTGATGTCAGAATCCCTAGAGATCAGTGGTTTTCAAAGACCTCCAGGTGATTCTCAAGTACAGCCAGGACTGAGAGTGGCTGCTTGAGGCCAGAGCTGCTGGTACTCTAATGTGCGCCCAAATCACTAGGGATCTAGTTAAAATGCTGGCGGATTCAACAGCCCTTGAGTGAGGCCCGAGAAGCCCCCTCACTAACAAGCTTCAGGTTAGGCCGACAGTGCTCTCCACAGACCAGCACACAGTAAGAAATAAGAAAGCTGGTCCCTGGGGCACCTGCTTTTAGAATCACTGTGCCAGGCGCTCACATGAGGTTGACCCTGAAGATATGTGACTGGTAGTGACCAAAGAAACTCATGAAGTTTTGCTGTAGTGTTAAGAACCGCCTCTCAACTCGAGGATGAACCCTACTTCTGCTTATAGCTTGTTTTGTTCTCTGCCCCGCTACCCATTACCTTGCTCTTTTCTTCGTGGATGTGGTGCAGTGTCCGAGACTTTGGGCAAGAGTTGACAGGCTCTTGCAGGAGTCTCATGACCCTTGAGGGACGTGTGATCAGGCAACGCTGTGCGTGTGCCAGGAAAGCAGATGAGGGGGCAGATCCTGGAAGCAGGCACCAAAGGGAGGCCTGGGTGGATTTGGAGTATGGCGGTCAAACCCAGGTGCTGGGCAGGAACTTCCAAAGGTCAACACAATCCTTGACCGTTGTTTTTGGAGGGTCCTGATATATTGGGAAGAAAATGTTCTGACTGTACTGTACACGTCATCTGGTAAACCACAAAAGTCTAAATCTGGGACTTGTCATAAACATGTTGCCTAAGTCGGGTGGTTTCCCTGGTTCCCAGGAGAGGCCTTACCTCAAGGCTCCCTTCTGCAGGTGACAAAAGGAAAAGAGCAAAGTCTGTTCCTGGGTGAAGAGCAGGTGGTCTAGGTGGAAGGCACAGCCGTAGGGCATGGTGGGTTAAGACAGGGTCCTGGTACTGAAACAAGGCCTTGGCTTTGGAACAAGGCAGAAGCCCAGGCAGATCAGCTGGAAGGCAGACTCTCAGCTGACTCGCTGAGCTAGGCGAGACTCTCAGCCCCGCTGACTGGACCCAGCTGGGGTGACAGATGGTGGAGAGGCCTCAGCCGTAGGGAGTGGGGGATTGTCCAAAAAGGAGTCATTGGACGCTGTTCCTGGGGCCTGCTTCCCAGCCCTGCATGGCCTTCTAGAGTTCAGATCTTCCCTGGGGGGCCTCATGGAGCCCTGTCCACCCCTCCGTTTATAGCCCTAGCCCTTCCTCTCCCCCATCTGGCTTCCTGGCCAGGCTTCCACCCTGCAGAGAACTTGGCAGAGGAAGAGCTTAAAAAGGCTTCACTTGGCTGTCAGATGCCCCTTCTTTGCTATTCTTTTAGCCCCACAGCTGGGGTGACAGGAGACCTGCCACCTTTCTGACCAGTCAACAAGGGGGTGGGGGCGGTGGTTAAGGCCAGGTGGCATAGGGAGCCTCTGGTGCTAGGCCACATCCCCCGATTAAGGGAGCTGAGCCTCAGGCTCTTCCTGCCTCAGCAGTAAGCCACACAGTGCTTCTGAAGAGCTGGGCTTTGTTCCAGCTGCTTTATGATGACCTCAGTCCTCATAACTTGGGTAGATGCCCTCTCCGTTCTCAGTTTATAGCCCTGGGAAACGGGTATAGGGAGGGCAACAGAATTGTCTGAGGTTACCCATCCAGTAAAGGGTCCTGGGGGCTCTTCAGGGGCTTCATCAGGGAGCAACTTTGGAAGCACAGCTGGGAGGGCCTGGGCGGTAGACCGGAAGGAACGGGAAGGTTCAGGTGAGAGTGGGGACGAGAATCGAACATTACCTGAACACAACAGAAGGGGGAGCTCTGATGTTAGAAAAGCTACTCCTACAAATTAAGGGAAATTAACTTCACATAAAAAGGAGCC